TAACTGGAGCCTTACAACAATCTTACAGAGAAGGAGGACCCTGAGTCTCAGGTTTTAAGTGACTTGCCCAAAGTCTTTTCCCCCCACTCTGTATCTGTTGGTTGGTTTGAAATAGAGTCTTACGGAGTAGCTCTGGCTGGCTTGAAATTAGGTGTGTTGGCTAGTTTGACCTCTTGTTTCTTGTGTTTTGTTTTGTTTTTGATTCTTTTTTAGCCCTGATTATCCTGGAACTTGCTTTGTAGACCAGGTTGGCCTTGAATTCACAGAAATGTGCATCTCTGCTTCCGGAGGGCTAGAATTAAAGGAAAGGCGTGCACCACTGCCACCCAGCACCAAAATTATTAACTAGAAGGTGGAAGAATTTCATTGGCTTAGATGATCAAATTGCAAGAAGGACCTGTAACTTTTAGTTCCTAGTGAGCTGTGGCATACTTTAGATGATTCTCTGTGGAGTAGTTAAATGGCAGAGAAAACTGTGATGGGAATTCCCCTCACTTTATCTTTTTCTTTTTCTTTTTTTTTCGAGACAGGGTCTCTCTGTAGCTTTGGAACCTGTCCTGGAACTAGCTCTTGTAGACCAGGCTGGCCTCGAACTCACAGAGATCCGCCTGCCTCTGCCTCCCGAGTGCTGGGATTAAAGGTGTGTGCCACCACCACCCTGCCCCCTCACTTTATCTTTTTGAATGATTAGATTTATGTGTTTAGGTAAATGGGGTGGAATGTTGGCATTGATTTTTGTATATATATTTCCTTGTCATTTTCTCTTTCTTCTACTTGTATACGGCTTTTTATGATTAAGCAATTATTTGGGGGACTTCACAATGGCACAGATACTGTTCTAGATACCTCTTCACTTCTGCCCACTAGTCAGTGAGATTGTTGCTGGTTTGAACTCTTGAGTTTAGGTTCCCTGGGAATTGATAGACATGCTTTTTGGTAATTTTTTTGGGCAGGGAGTGGGAGGGGAGAGACAGGGTGTCTCTATGTAGCTCTAGCTGTCCTGAAACTCACTGTAGAGCAGACTGACCTCGAACTCGGATCGGCCTGCCTCTGCTACCACTGCCTGCCCTTTTTAGTGAACTTGATGTTTAGCTTCTTAGTTGTCTTGATGGTGATATTTGTAGGAACTCATTCTGGTTTTGATTCCTGTAAGAACTTAATGTTATATCATGGTTCTTTGGATTATACAATATTTGTAACCTGTACTTTGTTTGTCCCTTTGAGTTATAGGAGAACAGAAAGGCAGATTTTTTTAAATTTATGTTTTGAACATTGTTGTTTTGCCTGCATGTACGTCTGTGTGAGGATGTCAGAAGCCCTGGAACTGGAGTTACAGAGTTGTGAGCCGCCATGTGGTTGTTGGGAATTGAACCCAGGTCCTCTGGAAGAGCAGCCAGTGCTCTTAACTGCTGAACCATCTCTACCCCTTTATTTTATTTTACTTTTTTAAAGAATGGACCTGGCCAATGAAGTTGTTCAAGGGGTAAAGGTGCTTGCTGCCTAATGATTCCTGGAACCCACAGGGTGAAAAGAGAGAACTGACTGCTGCAGGTTATCTTGTGACTTGATGTGTGCTCTTACACACACCCCCACACAAACCAAGGGGGATTGCTGCTACTGTGTCTACAGTTGTTATGAGATTATAAATGACTTACTTGTACTTTTTGTTGCATTGTTAGGTCAAATGATTTTCAAAGTGTTTCTTCTGAAGCTCTCTATATTAGGTAAGATAATTATGGTTTCAATACAGAGTTAAGGTGAACATTAGAGCTGTTTTTCTCGAACCTTTTTGGTTAGTAGTAAAAGGTACGAAATACTTCAAGTATTTGTTAGTTTGAACAAAGGATTCACACCTAAAATTTTGTTTCTACTCTAATTTGTACAAGTCACCAAAGCAATCATTTCCTCCTGTTATTTAGCTGTGACTACTCTGGAGGTTGGCCTCAACTGTATTAACATTTTTACTGTGCATGTATTTTTGCAGTTTACTAGTTGGTGATGAGAGGCTGGTGTGTGTTGTGGTGGTACAGTGCTTGCTAAACAAACTCAGGGTCCTGAATTCAAGCCTCAACACCCAAACACAGCAAAGCAAACAAAACAAAGCGCGGTAAGAATTACAACATGAGAATGAATCAGAGTTTTGTATTTGACACTTTGTAGTGTACTGTTACTTGCTGAGCCATCTTGCTTTATTTTAAGACACGGCCTTGCTCTGCAGCTTAGGATATTTTGGAACTTGTCTTGTAGCCTGGTCTGGCTTCAAAGCCTTGATATCATCTTGTCTGTCTGACTATATGGGCTTAGGAAATTGGGGCTTGCCTTACTCTGGAATCTTTCTGACCTTATCCATTATTAGAGGAAGAAAACGCCTTCAGCACAAGCTGTAAATATTTTCCTTATGTCTGTATTTGGATGCATCTGATTGTGTGCTCTTTAGATTTCAGCTTTTTGAGAAATGGAAGGAGGAAGTTATTGTTTGACTCTTATAATAAGCAGTTACTTCTTCCTTTGTTTTATTTTACTTTCAGAGTTTTTATTTTGTGCGTGCGTGTGTGCGTGTGTGTGTGTAAGTCAGAACAACTTTGTGAGGTGTTTTTTTTCCTTCTGCCTTTTACAATGGTTATGGTGATCAAACTCTGTGGCAAGTACCTTTACCTGCTGAGCTATCTTGCCACCTTTCTCTCCTTTTATTTTTTTTATTTATTTTTTTTTATTTTTTTTATTTTTTTGGTTTTTCGAGACAGGGTTTCTCTGTGGTTTTGGAGCCTGTCCTGGAACTAGCTCTTGTAGACCAGGCTGGTCTCGAACTCACAGAGATCCGCCTGCCTCTGCCTCCCGAGTGCTGGGATTAAAGGCGTGCGCCACCACGGCCCGGCTCTCCTTTTATTTTAATACAAGGCTTTGCTCTGCAGCTCAGGATGTCTTGGAACTTTCCATGAAAAGTTCCTGATCGGGCTTCAAAGCCTTGATCATCTTGTCTCAGATTCACAAAGTGCTTTGATTATAGGTTTGTGCAACTATGACCCACTCTGAGAGTTACTACTTTTGAAATTTAAAAAGCAAAAAGAAGCCAGGCATAGTGCCTTATGTCTGAAATCCCAGTATCAGTGGGAAGAGGAGGCCAGTTTGGCGCACGCCTTTAATCCCAGCACTCATGAGGCAGAGACAGGCGTCTCTGAGTTTGAAGCTAGCCTGGTCTACAAAGTGAGTTCCAGGACAGCTCAGGCTGTTATGCAGAGAAAACATGTCTTAAAAAACTGGAACAACAGAAACTGAAGTAGATCACCTCTTAAAATTATCAAGCCACAGGTATGGCGATATAACTTGGTTGGTAGAATGCTTACCTAGGATGAAAGAAAGAAGCCTTGGGTTCATTTCCCAGCACCACATAAACTAGGCATGGTGACAGATTGTAATCCCAGCCCTATGAAAGTGGAGGCAGGAGGATAAGAAGTTTAAGATGCAGTTTGAGGGCAGCCTGAACTATATGAATTTTGTCTTTAAAAATGTTGTATTGTTACCACTCAGACAACCATTGTGTTTTTTAATCTGTCCCCCTCCCTCTCTCTCCCTCCTCACCTTCAATGCTAAAGACAAAATCAAGGGCTTTAGAAATGCTAGACCACCATTCTACTATTGAGCTGTAGCCCCCCCCCGCCCCAGCCCTTCTGCAGAATTTTTGTCTAAGTCACTGTGCCGTGATTTTCCAAAGTATTTTAAAGAATTACTGATTTTTTTTTATAGTGCTAGAAATTGAATACAGGGTCTCATGCTAAACAGGAGCTCTACCACTGAGCCACACGCCCAGCCTAATTATTTATGTTTGTTTATTGTGTATATGTGGTATGTGTATGTGCACACGTTTGCATTTATCTTAGGCTCTGTTCTATTGCTGTGAAGAGACACATGACCACAGCAACTTATAAAAGAAAGCATTCGGTTGGGGGCGGGGAGCATGTCACCAGGCAGAGTTTACATCTGGTTTACAAGCGTGAGACAGAGAGAGAGAGAGAGAGAGAGAGAGAGAAGCACATGTACACCCCAGCCTAGACTTGGCTTTTGAGAACTCAGTGCTCACTACCAGTGACACATCTGCTTCAATAAGGCTGCACCTCCTCGTCCTTTCCAAAATAGTTTTACTGTCTAGGGACCAGGCATTCAAATATATGAGCCTGTGGGGCCTGCTCTCATTCAAACTAGAGATAGATACTAGGCATTGTTTTCAGTTGCTCTCCACCTAATTTTTTGAGACAGGGCCTCTCATTGAATCTGGAGTTCACTGACTTTACTAGGCTAGCCAGCCAGTACATTCCAGGAATTTTCTTGTCTCTACTTCTCAGTGCTGCAGGCTGAATACTGCTGTGCCTGGCTTTGTACTTGGGCTCTGGGGATCCTAACTAATGCTTGGATGGTAAGTCCTTTACCCACTGAGCCATATCCCTAGCTCCCTAGGTGTTTATTTTCTGTGGTAATAGGGATTGAGCCCAGGGCCTGTACCACTAGGCCATATAACCCCACCTTTTGTTTTCAATCAGAGTTCTTAGTCATTTTTATTAAGAGCAAAATTTTTCTGACTAAGAACTGGGACTGGAGAGATGGCTTAGTGGTTAAGAATACTGGCTGCTCTTCCAGAGACCCTGAGTTCAATTCCCAGCAACCACATGGTGGCTCACAACCATTTGTAATGAGAGATCTGATGTCCTCTTCTGGCCTACAGGCATAAATGCAGATAGAATACTGAGAATACTGTATACATAATAAATAAATCTTTTAAAAAAGACTAAGAACTGAATAATTTTGATGGAAATGTTCAGTTTTTCATATGTAAAGTAGGGCTATAGAAGGAATATGACAAGATGAAATATTTTTGAAAGAGAAACTTCAAAAGTCCCTTCGTTGGTAGCCATAGTTAAATAGGAAAGGACACTTTCTCTTTTGAGCTAGACTTGTGTTTGCATGGAAATTGTAGGCATTATTTGGCATTGTTCTTCATTCCTTAGATTTCCATGAAGACAGCTGACAAGGACCTGAATGGCCTCATTTTAGCTGCTTCTGTGTGTGGAGCTATTATTTGCTCCTTCAGTTCTGATCCCTGGTGTGACAGTGGCTCCTGAGCACCATGAAGGTTGTCCCAGAGAAGAATGCTGTTCGGATCCTCTGGGGCCGAGAACGGGGCACTCGTGCCATGGGTGCTCAGCGGCTTCTGCAGGAGCTGGTAGAAGATAAGACACGGTGGATGAAATGGGAAGGCAAGGTAAGAAAATGGCTTTGACATGGGGTCTGTGGGGGTGACAATAAGGTGGACATAATCTTAGAGTAGATTATGGCAGAGAGTGAGAATGTAATTTATCTTCTTTATGAGATTTGATATAGCTAGTTTGGGGAATTGGTTTATAATGTGAAAGCTAAGACTAGAAATATTTTTTCCTGGAGAGTAGACATTTTTTCTGAATTTAGATTTATCTTGATTTATAACTTGATTATTGTCTTTATAGTTTTAGTCTGTACTAAATCTAGAATGGCTTCTGTTAGAGTAAGCCCTACTTTATAAATCATGCTGGCTGTCTGTCTGTCTATCTATCTATCTATCTATCTATCTATTTATTTATTTATTTTCTCTCTCCCAGAGAGTAGAACTGCCTGATAGTCCACGCTCGACCTTCTTACTGGCCTTCAGCCCAGACAGGTAACTAATATTTAGCTGTAGCTTAAGCTTTCTGTACTCTTGACTTAGCTTGATCATCCAGATTAATTCCTAGAGATTCTCTGAAGCACTGGATGAATATATGAAGATGTGTATATATGCGTCTATACATATATTACATATATTTGTGTATGAACGGGAGCACTGTGTCAGAACTAGAAAACTTTAGAACTCAGAATGTTTCTGTTGTGTATAGACAAATTGCCTAACAGGCATATCTTAATGTCTTTTATTTGTAGTTAGGAAATAGTGTCAGTTTTTGTTGTCTAAAACTGGTAAAATTTGTTTCCCTGCCTGCCACATGTTTCTTATTATGTCTCCATTTTGACTCTCTAGGACTCTCTTGGCATCCACACATGTGAACCATAACATCTATATTACAGAGGTTAAGACTGGCAAGTGTGTTCACTCTCTGATTGGACACCGCCGTACTCCATGGTGTGTCACTTTTCATCCTACCATCTCAGGCCTTATTGCTTCTGGTTGCCTAGATGGGGAAGTTAGGATTTGGGATTTACATGTAAGTATTTTTTTGGACTGCTTTTTTTCTTTGGTATTTTATTTATTTATTTATTTTTGTTTTTTTGTTTTTTTGTTTTTTTGTTTTTTTTTTTTTTTCTCTTTGGTATTTTAAACACAGAGACTTATTTGCCTTTGGATTCTTATTTCTGGTTGAGAAACTAACCACCCTCTTGGGACTTAATCTGAGTCTATGATAGTTACTGCTCACTTGATAGATGGACATTGCTAGTTCATACTTCTCCACTATAAAGTAGATATACTAAAGTTTTCTTCTATCTGTTCTATTTAACATTGTTTGGAAAGAGGCTCTAAAATGAGTTCAGTATGGACTTCCACTGTCTTAGATCACTCTGTTCATGCTCATCAAAGCAAGATGCTGCTTGTCTCAATGATTGGCTAGTGAGTTGCTCTGAACTGTTTGTACCAAGCTGGACTTTTCACAGGTGTCAGAAACAAGAATTGAGTGGAGGCCTTGTAATTGACTTGAAGACAGTAATATTTTTCTTAAATTATTGGCACTGATACATTGCTGTTCTTATACATTAATTTATAGAGGACATGTTTAAAATAAACCCTATGAAAACTATTTTGTCTTAAATGGTCTTGCTATTTATTCCTGGATGGTCTGATACTTACTATGTATACCCTCAAACTTACCAAGATCCACATGCATCTGCCTCCTGAGTGCTGGGATTAAAGTCGTGCGCCACTGCACCACTGTGCTCTGATAAAGACAGTAGCTGCAAGTGGAGAGAGACCCTCGGGACTCAAACCCGGGGCTCATCCATGTAAAGCATGTGGCCTACCCCTGAGCTGTGTGACTCCATATAGGACTTTTTCCTTTTTCCCTCCCTCCCTTCTTCCCTCCCTCCTTCTCTCCCTCCCTCTTTCCCTCCCTCTCTCCTTCCCTCTCCCTTTCCCTCTCCCTTTCTCCCTTGCCTCTTTTTTTTTTTTTTTTTTTTTTTTTGAGACAAGGTGTCACTATATAGTCTAGGCTGGCCTGGAACTCACTATGTAGAACAGGCTGGTCTCATAATTTGTGGAAGTCTTCTTGCCTTAGGTTCCCGAGGGCTGGGATTATAGTTGTGAGCCATCACACTTAACTCTTCAATGTAATTTTCTTGAAGTGGATTCTTCATCTATTGGCAGTTTATAATCTGAGAATATTTGGGACTGGTTCATTTGCAGGGTGGCAGTGAAAGCTGGTTCACAGATAGCAACAATGCCATAGCATCCTTGGCCTTCCATCCTACGGCTCAGCTTCTACTGATTGCCACTGCCAATGAGATCCACTTCTGGGACTGGAGTCGGCGGGAGCCCTTTGCTGTAGTGAAGACAGCTAGTGAGATGGAGCGCGTGCGGTAAGTGTAATGTAAGAACATTACAGCTGTTGTCATTTCAGGAGACAGGTTGTTTATCCTCACTTAGGGAACTCATTAGTCCTTTTTAGGGTGGTTTGTTATCACCACTCCCAGAAACAGTTCATTTTGTTTCTTGCCTGCCCTTTATTGGCCTCATCTTGTGGTCTCTACAAATCAGGGTTATTAGGTAGAATCTTACTTAGGTTCAGAGCTGTCTGCATTTGGGATTACCTTTTGGGAAGACTTTCAAAAATATATGGATGATTTAAGATAGCTTGCTGGCTGCTTGCTCTCTGTTGGCTGTTTATATTTATCAAATTGCAAAATAGAGATATAAATGTATCAAATCTGTTAACTATACTTATTTAGCTTTTGAGATCAAAGCATACTTGGTGGCTGCGGGTATGGTGGCACATATCTGTAATCTCAGGATTCTGATATTTAAGATAGGTATATCTTGAGTTCATAGCCTACCTGGGCTACACAGGGAGTCTCACGCCTTCCTGAATTAGTTAGCAAGACCCTGTCCCTGTCTTAAAAATTAAAATACCAGTCTGGCTGTAGTGATGTATACTTTTAATCCCAGAACTTAGGTGGCAAAGGCAGGTGATCTCTGTGAGTTCAAGGCCAGCCTGGTCTACATAGCAAGTTTCAGGATAGATATTGTTACATAGTGAGACCCTGTCTTGAAAAAATAGTAACAAACAAGCAAAAAAAAAAAAAAAAAAACAAAACCCAAAATACCAAAACGATAATTGAGCTTGAGATGTAATGAGATTGTCAGCTCTTGCCTATTACATATATGACCTTGGATTCAGTTCTCAACTCTACAAAAACAAGACATGTATTGCCTAAATTAGATTGGATACATTGTTTTCTTTGGGTATTTTTTTTTAACAGTTTTATGGCTGGATATAGGCTTTTTCTGGATTTCAGCCATATCACTTGATACTGATACTTTATTGTCTCTGGGTGCTAAATTTTTTTGCCAGTGTGACAGGTGAGTGAAGGGAGACCTGAATCTGTGTGACAGCATTCTGACCTACCACTTAAATGGGCTCTTACCTGTTGAACAGATGGATATTTAATGTAGCTGCTTAGTGTGATGCAAACCTGGGTGATTTTCAAAACTGAAATCATGGCCTGAAGATGTAGCTCAGTTGGTATAGACTTGTATTGCACGAGTGAAGTTCAGAATTTGATCCCTAGTACCACGTAAAGAGAGTGTGTTGGTGCACACCTGTAATCCCACTGGGTGAATAGAGGCAGGAGGATCAAAAGTTCAAGGTCATCTACAACTGTGTGTTGATTTGTAAGCTAGCCTGGGATATATAAGACCCTGTCTCAAAAAAAGAAAGAATGTGGGGTGCTGGAGAGATGACTCAGCGGTTAAGAACACTTCCAGAGGACTCAACATTCAATTCACAACACCCACGTGGCAGCTCACAATTGTCTGTAACTCCAGTTCCAGGGGAGCTGACACCCTCAAAAATACATACATGCAGGCAAAACAACAATGCACATAAAATAAAATTCAATAGTAAATTAAAAAAGGAAAGTGAAATCTCTTTATTAATACATATTTCTTTACATTAGGAAGCAACGTAAGCCTTATTTTAATGTCTTTAAAACAGGAATCTGAGGCAAGAACATTTGTGAGTTTGAATGTGACTTGGGCTACATAGACTGTCTCCAGGAGAGAGAGACAGAGACAGAGACAGAGAGGGAAGAAAGTTTTGAAAGCATGAACTGGGTTGTCTGACGCCATTTCCAGTTAACATGATTTGTTTTTCTCTGCTTTTCTTTTGTGATTTCAGTCTGGTTAGATTTGATCCACTTGGACACTACTTACTGACAGCAACCGTTAACCCTTCTAATCAGCAGGTAAGAATCCAGCAGTTCTCACTCGCTCTGAACTGAAGTTATTTTCTAAAATAGAGCTGGAATTCTGGTACTATTATTCTTTTTTTAGTAGTATACGTCTATTAGATATTATATTTATTATTATTAAAATATAATTCTGGTTATAATTTAATTCTTAATACTTCAGTAGTTTTTCCATTGAAATTTTAGTTATTTTCTAATGATATCGTCAAAAGTTACCAACATAGTTTTGACAGGAGAATCAGTTTTCTAATCCTTTTGACTGTATCATGAGAAGTAAACCTTGTCAGAGTTGGAGAAATGTCTCAGTTGTTAAGAGCAGCATACTGCTATTGAAAAGGACCTGGGCTCCATTCTCAGTCCCCATGTTGGGCTAATTACAACTGTCCATAACTTTAGCTCTGAGGGATCCAATGCCCTTTTCTGGTCAGATGCGTACAGAGACCCACATACACATACAAGACCAACCAACCAACTAGCCATAATGTGTCTAAATATTGTGTGGGTAATTTGCTTGAATGTGTGTCTGTGTACTGTGTGTGAAGTGACCACAGAGGCTAGAAGAGGACATTAGATCTCCTAGAACTGGAATTAAGCCAGTTGTGAACCACCATGTGGATGCTGGGAACCAGTCCTCTGCCAAAGCAACAATGTTCTTAACCTCTGAGCCATCCCTCCAGCTCCTAAAAGTAAATCTCAAAAACAAACAAACAAACAAACAAAAAACAAAACAAAAGGTAAGGAGAGGCTGGAGAACTGGCTCTGCACTGTTGCTTTCAGGGCACCCTGGTTTGATTCCTAGTACGCAGGCACGCAGTAGTTCACAGCTGTCTGTGACTCCAGCTCTACGATAGCTGACTCTCTTCCGATCTCTGCGGTACCAGACATGTATGTGGCACAAATGAATACATGCAGGCAAAATCTCATAGTAAAATAAAATAAAAATCTTTAAAAAAAAAGAATGAAAGAACTTGTCTTCATCATGCTTGTCACTCATGTGCCTCTGGCTGGTTGGTGTTTTGTTTTCCTCACTGCTTCTGTGCCACAGAGATGACTTTTATAAAATAATTATTATGCCAATTGTATTCATTCAGATATGTTGCCTATTAGAAATGAATAATTTAATACCATATGATGGTTTTTAGTCTGAAGTCGATTAGTTTTCAGGACCTCAAAGGGAGAGAGTTTTTGCTAATCAATGAAGGTGATTCTCCTTGGATGATGACCAGTCAGTTTTAAGCTTGTCTTGATTTGTTTGGAGGTTCTACCTAATTGTTCTTCTCTACCCTCTCCTCCTGCTGGTCCACGTTCCAGGGTGACGATGAACCAGAAATTCCTATAGATGGAACAGAATTATCTCACTACCGCCAGCGTGCCCTCCTGCAATCACAGCCGGTTCGCCGGACACCTCTCCTTCACAATTTCCTGCATATGCTGTCCTCCCGCTCCTCTGGCATCCAGGTGGGAGAGCAAAGCACAGTACAAGATTCTGCTACCCCCCTCACCCCCACCGCCTCCCCCTCAGCCCTCCACGGAGCGTCCCAGGACTTCCGCTTACATCAGGCTCCGACAGCGGGTCAGTTACCCCACCACAGTTGAGTGCTGCCAGCACCCTGGGATCCTGTGCCTTTGCAGTCGCTGTGCTGGCACTCGAGTTCCTTCCCTCTTGCCACACCAGGACAGTGTGCCCCCTGCTTCTGCCAGAGCTACTACCCCTTCCTTTTCTTTTGTACAGACCGAGCCCTTCCATCCCCCGGAGCAGGCTTCGTCAACGCAGCAGGACCAGGGCCTCCTGAACCGGCCGTCTGCCTTCAGTACAGTCCAGAGCAGCACTGCGGGCAACACGCTCCGCAACCTCAGTCTGGGTCCTACCCGTCGCTCTTTGGGGGGCCCTTTGTCTAGCCACCCTTCTAGGTATCACAGAGAACTAGCCCCTGGGCTGACAGGTTCTGAATGGACCCGGACAGTACTCACTCTCAACTCACGCTCTGAGGTAGAATCTATGCCCCCGCCCAGGACCAGTGCCTCTTCAGTGAGTTTGCTGTCTGTGCTGAGACAGCAGGAAGGCGGCTCTCAGGCGTCTGTGTACACTTCAGCCACAGAAGGAAGGGGTTTTCCATCATCAGGGCTGGCTACTGAGTCAGATGGAGGGAATGGTTCTAGCCAAAACAACTCCGGCAACATTCGCCATGAGCTTCAGTGTGATCTTAGACGCTTCTTTTTGGAGTATGACAGGCTGCAGGAGCTGGATCAGAGCCTGAGTGGGGAAGCTCCCCAGACCCAACAGGCCCAGGAAATGCTCAATAATAACATTGAATCTGAGAGGCCAGGTCCTTCCCATCAGCCCACACCACACAGCAGTGAGAACAACTCCAACCTGTCTCGGGGCCATCTTAATCGCTGCCGTGCTTGCCATAATCTTCTGACCTTCAACAATGATACCTTGCGCTGGGAAAGAACCACACCTAACTACTCATCTGGAGAGGCTAACTCTTCCTGGCACGTCTCTACCACCTTTGAGGGCATGCCACCAAGTGGCAACCAGTTGCCACCTCTTGAGCGGACTGAGGGCCAAACACCTAGCTCCAGCAGGCTGGAGTTGAGCAGCTCAGCTAGTCCACAAGAGGAGAGGACTGTGGGGGTGGCCTTTAACCAGGAGACAGGCCACTGGGAACGAATCTATACCCAATCCAGCAGATCTGGAACTGTATCACAGGAGGCCTTACATCAAGATATGCCCGAAGAAAGCTCTGAGGAAGACTCCCTCAGGAGGTAAGCAGCTGCTGTCCTCTGTTCTACCTTCCTCCTCCTCTTCTACCCATCGTCCTTCAGTCCTAGTGATGTTGTGCTTTTATCTGAAATATCTAGGACCCACGTATTTGGTTCCTTGCATCATCTTGGGAGATTTTGCTCTGGTGACAGAGATAGGATCAGCCCTGGTGGTGTGAGTCAATTGCTGTACTGCTGTACTGATTTATTTTAGCCTTGTAAGGGGGTGTAGATTGGATTAGAGAGGCATAAGGATATAGAATTGTTGATTCTCTTCGCCTTTTGACTGAAATATAGATGTAGGACTGGTTGTTGAGATGAGAGAATGTCCCAGGGGACTAGTTACAGTGAAATTAAAAAAAAAGAGAGAAAGACCTAGAGTTGCGAGGGATATTTTGTTTAGCTTATTGTGCGGCCTCTTCTTTGAGTGTATTGTTTTGAACCACCTCAATAAGAGACTGAAGAATTCCATGTATGAATAGATGTACATCAAGGAAAATATATGTTTTTAACTAGATTTATGTTTTTGTACAACACCTTGGCTGCCCATTTACATTTTTTTGGTTGGTTGATTGATTGGCTTGGTTTTGATAGTGATTGAACTTCTACCTCCAAATTCTTTGAATGGGCATTCCAGATGGCCATTTACACCAAGGTCGGGGAAATAAGAGTTCATGGAAGGAAGACCTCTCTATACATGGATTGGCATCCCAGTCAGCTCTCTTAAAAGAAACAGAGTAGGAGTACTGAACCTTATCTTCCACGAATGGCTGTATGCACACCTATTTTGATTTATTAGGGACTTCTTTCTGTAATTATGTAAAGGGCAAATCTAGCATAATTGCCAGCTCCCAGAATATGGAGCCAAACTGCTTACTGCGCTACATTGTATCTTCTGCTGAAGCAACTGAAGTTTCTCTAGCATAAGCTAAGAAGGGTAGGGATGTGGATTGTGCACATTGTGTACTTGTTATTTTGGAGTCAGTCATTTAGTCAATGACATTAGTGGAATGGTTACAATTTTTCCAGCACTGTGCTAGGCACTGTGCCCATTGAAGTATACAGTAGTACTGTGGAGGCAAGGCATAATTACATGAAATCTGTCACAACTCTAAAAATTACATCCTTATTTATTGTGTATGTAGGGATGGTATGTGTGCCATGGCACAAATGTAGAGGACAGAGGGCAGCTTTTGGTAATAGGCTTGTCTTTTTATACCATGTAGGTCCTAGGGTCATCAGCCTTCTCACTGTCTCCAGTCTGGTGCTTCTTTGTGTGCTACTGATACTAAATAGAGTAAGCAGAAAAACAAAAACAACTAGTTTAATTTTAACAAAACAAAACCATTACCAAAACAAAGGTTATATAATGTCCAATAATGAAAAATTAGTAAGACTTGGAGAAGGAGAGACCATTTTCTTTTAGGGTAACGGCACATCCTCAAGGAGAAAATATATTATGTGATGCATGCAGAATAGTGGGAACAGGGAGTCTGGCTGGACGCCAGAAGTAGACAAAATAACAAGGTTGTTTCTGTGCCTGAGTGAGACCAGCCTTTTGGGGAATGTGTCTGGATTCCTAGATTGGAATATTTACCTTTGCTTAAGGGTCCACATCAGGAGCCTGAGACTCTTGAGCGGCAAAAAGTCAGCCAGCACAATGCCTGACACATTGTTGGCACTCAGAATTTATTAAAAGCAGTCAAGAAAGGACTGTCTTCAGCTACTGACATTAGAAGAACTGAGTCTTTGGTCAGTGTTTGTTCATCTTGCTTTAACAAGATGTGGTGTTCTACTGAATAATTCCCAAATGGCTTAAAATGAATCCCTACTGTATGCAGAGTATTAAAGATACCAGCTAAGGAGGGCCTACTATGTAAGGTTCCACCATATTCTTGCTTTGAGGTAGTTGGGAGAAGAGGGTGGGGAATGCTGGGAGACATAAGTTATGATTTCTACAACAGTTCTATGCAAGGCAGGTATTAAATTTCTTTTATTTTTTTGAGACAGGGTTTCTCTGTAGCTTTGAAGCCTATCCTGAAACTCACTCTGTAGACTAGACTGGCCTTGAATTTACAGATATCAGCTTCCCAAATGCTGAGATTAAAGGCATGCACCACCACTGCCCATTTTAAATTTCTTACTTTGCAGTTAAGAAAAGTGAGTCCCAGCCGGGTGGTGGTGGTGCATGCCTTTAATCCCAGCACTCGGGAGGCTGAGGCAGGTGGATTTCTGTGAGTTTGAGGCCAACCTGGTCTACAAGAGCTAGTTCCAGGACAGGCTCCAAAGCTACAGAGAAACCCTGTCTAGAAAAACCAAAAAAAAAAAAAAAAAGAAAGAAAAAAAGAAAAGAAAAAGAAAGAAAGAAAGAAAAGTGAGTTCCTTAGAGAAGTCAGAACAGAATTTCTCTTTTTGTTTGTTTGTTTTTATTTTGTTTTACTTTTCAAGCATCTATATTCCACTTCTCTTGTGGAATTGTATTTTTTGTAACTTTTTTTCTTTTTTTTTTAAATTAATTTACTTATTTAAGGATTTCTGCCTCCTCCCCGCCACCGCCTCCCATTTCCCTCCCCCTCCCCCAATCAAGTCCCCCTCCCTCATCAGCTCGAAGAGCAATCAGGGTTCCCTGACCTGTGGGAAGCCCAAGGACCGCCCATCTCTATCCAGGTCTAGTAAGGTGAGCTTCCAAACTGCCTAGGCTCCCCCAAAGCCAGTACGTGCAGTAGGATCAAAAACCCACTGCCATTGTTCTTGATGTAACTTTTTTTCTAAACATTTATTTTATTTACTATGTATGCAATGTTCTGCCTTCATGTATGCCTACAGGCCAGAAGAGGACACCAGGTCTCATAGATGGTTGTGAGCCATCATGTGATTGATGGGAATTGAACTCAGGATCTCTGGAAGAGCAGTCAGTGCTCTTAACCTCTGAGCCATCTCTCCAACCCCCAGAATTTCCTGTTGAAGGTCTCTTAGCATGAGACCTTAGGAGATGGCTCAGTGGCTGAGAATACATATGTAAGTATGAGGACACCAGAAGAGAATATTAGATCAGATCCCCTACAATTTGATGGTGTTAGGAATTGTATCTGGGTTCTTGGCAAGAACAAGTGCTCTTAACTGCTGAGACATCTCCCCTTCTGGGCTCCCCCCCTTTTTGGTATTGGTTTTTCTTTCTTGTCTTTTCTTTCTTTTCTTTTTTTTCCCCCTCCATACAGGGTTTCTCTGTGTAGTCCTGACTGTCCTGGAACTCACTCTGCAGACCAGGCTGGCTTTGAACTTAGGGATTTGCTTGCTTCTGCCTCCTGAGTACTGGTATTAAAGGCATGCATTGCCACTGCCTGGCCCATTTTTAAATTTATATGTGTGGTGTATGCATATATATGTTCCCATGTGGATGTCAGAGGCAGAGGATAACTTCTATCTCGTGGGACCCAGGGAATCAAACTCAGGTCATCAGACTTTACCCATTGAGTTATCTTGTTGGTCATTGGCTAATCATTTTTTGAGTAGGATTTTAAAGTCCTAGAAACTCTTAAGGATCTATCAGAAACTCTTGTTTTAATATATTTTCTTTTCTCTTAGTGATAAAAAGTAGTTCGTGCTGTTACTTAAATGACATTAAACTTTTAAAAAGATATGTTGTAGGGCTGAGAGTACAGTTAAGTAACAGAAGCTGCATATAGTATGCATGAAGGAAGCTCTGTCCCCGGCACTGAGACTTGTATAGACACGCTTGCACATTGTGTATAGTCTTGTCACCTTGTGATAAACTGGTTTTTTTCTTTTAAGATATACAAATAATGCATAATTCTCATTTAATGTGGTATTGATACTACTTAGGGAATCATTTTACATGAGCTGGCATATATTATACTCTAAAGAATGACAACTGGCTTAGAAATGAGGCATATTGTGAGGTATTTTAAATGTATATTGTCAAAGTAAAGCCATTACTTACAAATTGAATGGCTACACTCTGGTGTAAATTACAAACAGGTGCTAACTAAACCCTCACTTAAACTACCTTCTAAAGATGCCTTAGTGCCTGCCTGGTGAGCCAGCTCATGCTCCTGGTTTCCAGCAGATGTCACTGTTGGGCAAGAAAAGGGTGTTCTCAGGGTCTGTGCGGGAGGTAGACAAAGAGTCTTGGGCTGGAGAGATGGCTCAGTGGTTAAGAGCATTGCCTGCTCTTCCAAAGGTCCTGAGTTCAATTCCCAGCAACCACATGGTGGCTCACAACCATCTGTAATGGGGTCTGCTGGCCTCTTCTGGCCTGCAGGCATATACACAGACAGAATATTGTATACATAATAAATAAATAAATATAAAAAAAAACCAAAGAGTCTACCATTTTTATAGGTGACTATTGTTGGTAAGTGCATGGACTTCATAAAAGGTTGTACTTGAAGGTAGAGGAGTTTGTTTTTTGCTTCCTAGTAAGAAATGGGCTGTGGAGATACGTTTTGCTCTTTTCGTGTTACAGGGATAATTGCTGTGTGTGCAGATGTATTACTAAGCACATCTGTATTCCAGTAGAGCTCTGTGCTGCTGAGTGGTAGTAATCAGCTCATAGGGTGTCTCCTTTTCTTGTGGGCAGAGGACAAGCTGTTTGTGTAGTTTGATTCCACCTAACACCTTGGGTAGCAAGCCTTTTGTTTCACTATCAGAAACATCCTTTTTGGTCTAGGAGAGGATCATTTTGAAGATTTTTTTGACCTTTGAAATGCCTTTTTTTTTTTTTTTTTGAGACAGGGTCTTACTATTTAGCTCTCACTGTCTGACTGACTTGGAACTTGCTAAGTAGACCAAGCCGGTTTGGAACTCACAGAGATCCCTATGTCTCTGCCTTCTGAGTGCTGGGATTAAAGGCATATGTCACCATGATTGCTTGAAATGGTATTTTGAAACTAGAAGGAACCAGAGTTTTTAGTTCAGCCTCTCCCATTCTTCTCTTTTCCTTCAATGCTAGGGATTCTTCCTGGGGCCTCCTACATACTAAG